CCTTCCTTTTTCTTTTTTCTACTCCTATTCTACTGACGTCAATTACATCGAAAAAACTGGCCACAATCTTACCTTTAACAAAGAAAATTGTCAGTTCTACTTTCATTTAAGCATTGATTCTGGGGTCAATTTTCGCCAGAGTTAAAAGGCGTCCCATCTTTGACTTCAATTGCATGTCTCGTGCAAACTGGTTTGGTGAAGATTTTCTCTCTCTCCTGATCACCGATTTTTGTTACTACTTAGTCACTCTCGTAGTAAAAATTGTTGTTGTTGTTGTTGTTGCTTTATTTGAAGTGAATCATTCGTGTCAACTCCTTTTTACGCCTCTAGATTGGAATATTCACACAATCCAGAAAAAATGGAACCATCATTTATTCTGATTCTGAATTGTATTGTGAGAATTAAGTTTAGAATTGTTCAGTTTTATTTAGCATAGGTAAATTTCAATTTCTCGAAAGAATTATGACTGAAAATGATTTCAATGAGGGGTATGTGATAGACTTACCTCCACGTGGTGGACCCTGGGCAACGTATACTCATACGGCAAAAAGTCTATTACCTGGCAGTTGACTTCAAACTCCCATGACCCCACTGTATGTCATATTCCACCACGTCCACAGTACTCATCTTGTCTTTTCTCTGCCTTTGTGTCTGTCTGTTTCTTTTACAACTTTGAAACTCTCTTCTGTTCCCCACCCCTCAACTTTCTGTTACTTTGATGTTCCTTCCCCCTATGAAGCTCGAAGTCAGTCAAAGGACTATTGATAACTGTCAAAACGCTTGTCATTTGAAATAAATATTTTATCTAATATCTACCAGTGAAAGTTATTTATCATTATGTTTAATCTTATTTTTCAGGTCATCTCAAGTGACTGTGATTTTATAATCAGATCGATGACTGGCCTGAGTCTATGGAGTTAAGGGATGTCACTAGAGAGTTCGAGACATTCATCAGGAGAGATTTCTGTTGGATTCACTTTCGGTTTGGAAAATGTGACTATGCTATAAATTCCGGGATATTTATGAGATTTCAGGTTTGGATATCAACATGAAGTGTCAACTAGTAACTGATAAGGTAGAATTAATAACCTCGTCCACTGTCCATTTGCACTTTCATATTTGTAACAAGTTGTTCATTTAGACCAGCGAGATTTTTCGGAGAATGGAAGCGGAAAATATTGAGAAGAGGGGAATTGGGTGAGTTATCTGGACTTCATGATTGACACATTCTTGGAGAAGGCTGTTAGTGGGAGTACCGGTTGTAGCAGACTAAACAGATATGGCTTTAGCCACTTTCAATAAGGAGCAACTAAAATGAGATAAGTGATATCTTGAATAGGCTCAACAGGACTAAAAACAAATGTGAGACCAAGAAACACTAGCTTGAGATCATCTTGGAACCAAACGATAAGGAGATGCAGCCTCGCCTTCATATTTGCTGGCATTGTGGTAAGAGAAAGAGGGTTGGCATGACCGTCATCGCTTAACGCATCATCGCATGCCTGCATGCCAGGATTGGAAGGTGCGCCGTACAACTCTGTGTGCAGCGACCGTACAGTGCATCGTATGCCTGCATGCCTGCATGCCAGGATTGGAAGGTGCGCCGTACAACTCTGTGTGCAGCGACCGTACAAACAGTGACCAACCATCAACCTCTATTTGATCTAATCCGCCACCCTGATCATGATTAAGTTTCCTGAGTGTACACTTTATCCTCAATACTCGTACCTGCGTGTGCACTTTATCCACAATATACTCTGTGTGTACACACTTGATCCGCAATATACGTCCTGAATAAGCGGGTACACTTGATCCGCAATATACGTCCTGAATAAACGTGTATACGTCTGTTTCCTTTATAGCTGGGCTATAGCTTAGCTGGTGCTGGAAGTCTAGCTAGATGTAGGAGAATCTGCCACAGAGACTTCTGAGTCAGTCAGGCTTTAATAAAGTAGCAATCCGCTACAAGTTGAATGCGTTTAACATCCCCAGTGAAATCATTTAGGAGGTCAGACGAGCATGGCTTTTAACCAAATACAATTAAACAAAATGATTTTTGTTTGGTGATAAGATAGAAAGGATTTAAGAGCTAATCGGTGCTTTGGGGGGAATGTAGTTGACCATCTAAGTCATGAGAAATTCCATAGTGTGAGACTCGCCACTTAACACCATGTCAAACTGGTGAAGGGGTGGAGATTGATTGAAATTCTTGGAATAAATGCTCGAAGCCGTGGTCATGCGCTAGTAACATTAGGAGACATTCAAGCCCCAATCATTTAGCAACGAGTTTTGCATCTCTCTTAGACACTTGTCGAGTGAGCGAAGACTTATTGCTCTTAACTTTATAACTGCGACAGAGAGACGATAATAGCATGTGCTCGTTACTTGCTATAAAACTAAGAAACATTCGAAATTGCCATATATTCCAATGAAGATACCAATGAACCACAACCTGACCATAGAAACCAATACTTTAGTTTGTCGTCAGCAGCAACTATAAAGTTGCTCTAGTCTCAGCGTATTGAGCAAATCGCGAGGAGAATTAGAGACAAAACGCTCGAGCAGACATGACAAGTGGGTTGGCTTATATGACCATGACCTACTCCAGACATGATAAATAGGGGTTGAGTCATAGAGACTTCATTTCGGTTTCGTATAGGAATAGCCAAGCCTTCAGTGACTTTTGAACGTAACTGTCACAGATACCAATCCCATTCATCTGGCCAATGGATTAATATAATGCACGAAGAGAAGAGCCTATTTAAAGATTAAAGCTAGTCTCAACGACCACATTGGTTCCAGCGACATGTCCAGACGCTAAGACAACAAAAAGTGATTGATTGATAGATGACAGAAACGAGGGGATGAAAACCCTACAGTATACTTATACCAGAAGAAAAAATTGCAATATCAGTGAATATCTAGGGGCATGGGTATTGAACTTGTTTGCTGTTAATCAATGTCCACATCAACTTCGATAGTTTAGTCAGACAATGAGCTCAACCTAAATGCGTATTGACATTTCTAGGCGCTGATAGTTGATTCCGCTTGAATCTCTTCAAAGAAACCCTCCTGAAAAGCGCTAACACCTACTGCTTATTCAGGACTCAAAACAATATTTTCGTGCTCATTAGGCGATCACGATGTGCTGGGGGGGGGGGCAAGGTTATCTGTGTTCTAACACACCTAACAGAATTCCTGCGGATTTTTTTGTTGGCTATATCCAGCCAGCCAGATTAAGTGTCCAAATAATCACATATCACAATATTACCCAACTTCAATGATCAAGCATTCCTGTCATTTCAACTTTATCTATAAACCAATACCTACGGCACATCTCATCCATTTGTAATAGCTTGGTTGAGTTCTCCCTCTATTCACTCTATGCGAAATTTTAATATATACATATATATATATATATATATATTACAATCTTAATCTTCGTGGGGGTGTGCGATAGACTTCCCTCCACACGGTGAACCCTGGGCTACGTATACACATACCGCAAGACTATAAACCGGTAGTTGATCCCATTGTACGTTACATTCAACCACTTCCACAATTCTCGCCTCACCTTTCCCTTTTTCTCTACCTTTGCGTCTGTCGCTCTCTTTTACATCCACGAATTACTCGTCTGTTTCCCTGTCTCGAATTTCTCCTCCCCTCTGTGAAGCCAGAAGTCAGCTAAATGGGTAACGATAACTATCATAAAGCCTGTCATTCAAAATAAATAACTCCTAGTCTTCGACCCTCTAGATTCTAACTCATAACAACCAAAGACAGTAGAAATACGAATTACGAAATACAATTATAATTAAGGTT